CCCAGTGAGCAGTGTGCTCAGCGTTTAGCAGCATTTTGTCTCCCTTTCTTTCTGCTGCAGAAAGAGCAGAGGGGAGTATGAATGATGTCTGCAAGGTAGAAATTTCACTGAATTTTATCGAGTTTGAAAAGCGAAACAAGAATCCAAAGCACATAATATTATTACTAGCTGGCTAGATTTTTAGACACAGTTGTTTTCCCTTTGAGGTCAGGATGAAAAGGAGCCAGCACCAGCTGAGGCTCCTAATAGGTTTACCTCACCCTATTGAATTCACCCGAACAGCACTAGATCAGATAGCCATTGCCTCCTCGGCAGCACTTATCGCCTCTGTCTTCTTATTTTTGCTCCTTTTTTTATTTTTTCTTCATTTCCGTTTCTCCCTGCACGGGAGATGCGGTGAGGGGAGGAGGAACAGGGTGTAATTGGTGAGCGGGGTTAAGTACATGTTTGAGCCCCCCTGCGGGCCAGGGCGCTTCAGATGATGACTTAATCGTTTTTCTGGTCAATTATGTGTTTGCGGTCTCACCCCCTCTCTTCCACCTCTCCCTCCACTCGCAGGGTTATGATAGGGGGGGAGGTCTGCTCCCAACGGGGAAGACGAACCACACACACACACACTCTCTCTGGCGTTTATTCTTTTCTTCCCTCGCCAACCTCCTCGCTTTGCTGTCTTACTTAATATCTCTATCATCGTCCCTCACTCTGCAACCTGTTTTCTCTTCCGCTCCTCTTTTATCTCTCCCAGCTTCCTCCCACCTTACCTCACGCCTCAGCTACCTGACATAAAACAGGATCCATTCAGATCCATGTCAAAACGCTGTTCATAAGAAGCACATTGACACATCGGCTTTGTCTTCTGCTGACCTCTCCGTTCCTCCTCTGTCTTTTCCTCCAGTTTAACCGCTGCATCACCTCCCAGCTGATCAAGTGGTTCAGCAACTTCAGGGAGTTCTACTACATCCAGATGGAGAAATTTGCCCGGCAGGCCATCAACGATGGTGTCACTGGAGCCGAGGAGCTGAGCGTCAGCCGGGACTGCGAGCTCTTCCGAGCCCTCAACATGCACTACAACAAGGCCAACGACTTTGAGGTAAATGCTTCAGCGACTCGACATAGGCTGCAGCGAAAGGCTCGGTAAGAGGAGGAGCTGAGAGGGAAAACTGAAATTTCATCGGACGCCTAATCCAATGTGTATTCTGATACATTCTCGCTGCGCCCTCGTTGACTCTGGATCTGCTTTATATGCTGAGTTCAAGTCTGATGCAGAATTATTCAAACCCCTAAGCTTTTGTCACGCAGTCATTTATTTTATCTGGGTTTTATCTGACAGCAACACAAAGTGTATTGTGCGTATATCCTCAGTCCAGTTCAAATAACTGCTTACAGAAGTCAAGGTATCTTATAAATTCTGCTTCTCTCTGAGGATTGTCAGAGAATAGTTGTGAACAAACATGATCATGAGGATCAAGGAGCACAACAGACCTGCCATGATATGGCCATCACCTAAACTGGCAGGGTGGGAAAGGAGAGCAATGATCAAAGAAGCAATCAAGAGACACAAAGAGGTAACTTTGGGTGAGCTTCAAATTTCCACAGCTCAGGTGGAAGAATCTGTTGACAGAACAAATGTTACTTGTGCATTCTACGAATCTAATCTTTGTGGGAAAAGTGGCAAGAGAAAAACTGTATGGCTAAGTCCCATTTGTAGAGGACACAATAAAAATGAGGAAGAATGAGGCTGAGATTAAAATTACTGTCCTGCATGCATATTGCTACCTAGGACAAAGGGCTAATACTGCACACATCCCCCATACACAGTCCCTACTGTGAATCATGGTGGTCCCTGCTTTTCAGGGAGGGTGATCAGATTTAATATAGAGATGGAAGGGGCCTAAAAAGAGCAATAAGACTTGAGACTGTGGAGGTTTGCCTTCCAGCAGGACAAAAATCTGTGGCTTGAAATTTGCTGTTAACAGACACTAACCATCTAAACAGACTGAACTTTAGTTGGAAAAAATAATGCACAAAAAATCAGTACTCAGTCAGTGAGAGAAAATATAAAATATTTTATATAAAATATAAAATATTTTATATAAAATATAAGAGGAGGAGCTGAGAGGCCGTAATGTGACGAGTTGTGGTAAAGTTTCGGGGCTATAAATACTTTGTATGTACACCCCATGTACTGGAAAAGGCAGAGGAATATTTCAGCGCCTTTGGCTAAAAATAATCAAACCAATAAAATTTCACATTTGTTTTCAGTCTAGTTTAAACCCGTTTGAGGAAGTTTCTTCTGATGAGGAAGAAACGCACAAACACCTTGCTTATTTCACCTTTTCTTCTCCAGCAGTTTCCTCTCGACGGTTATTAGCTTACACTACCTCTCTGTGTGGGGATGTTTTAATATTTTGAAAAACTGCGTTGTACTTCCCTGTCCTCATTTGCCTACGAGCATCAGTGTGACCGTCCACTGCTTTCCGTTGATTGTCGTAAATTCCTGGCAGGTAGCTTCACCTTTAATATGTTCCATTGTTTTTCCCTCACTTCTCCTTTTGCCGACGTCTCTGTGCGTGCGAAATGTTTAAAGATGGACAGCGTTCCTCTCAATGTCAGCTGACAAAAGAGCTTTAAAGGACTTGGTGTTAAGAAAGACCTGGAGTGAGCTGCCTGTGCGTGTGTGTGTGTGTGTGTTTTGTTGTTGCTGCATTTCCCGGTGTCCTGTTCACCTCGAAGGGTACAGCCGTCCCTTGGACCGGCCTGGCATGCTGGCAAAGCACTTCTCCGGTGTGTGTGAGTGTGTGTGTGTGTGTGGGTGAGAGAGTGTGTGTGTCACTTTGAGGGGGGAAAAAATCTCACTGTTATCAAGGTTAAGCGTCCTACTGTTTTAGCTAGAGGAAGGGGAAAGAAAGAGGGGGAGTGGGGGACAAGGGAGATGGATAGATAGGGGACGGAGGGTGAGAGCTCGGAGACAAAAGAGAGACCGATGAAGGGAGAAGGGGAAAGGGGGGAAACCGATGGGGGAAATGGAAGGAGAGAAGAGGGAAAAGAGATGACGTGCAGGAGCGAAGTGCCCTTGCGAGCAGTGGGAGTTTTGCAAGCTCTCACATTTAAAGGGCTTCGCTTTCTTTCCCTGTGTTTCCTTCTGTCTCTCTCCATCATTATTTGTCCACTGGGGCTGCTCTCTGTGCACCCAAACACTCACACAAACACACACTCTCCCCCACATCCATCTTCAAACCTCTTAAGGGAGGCTTTGAAAGACTCTGGCAGACAGAAGCACTTGTATATATGAGGTCTCAATCAACTGAAAGCACATCAGGGCAAAGCAAGATTTCTTCTATTTAGGCAGGGCCCTAATAAGTGCAGAAATCAGTGAGATAGGGAAATAAATTAAACAGACAGTAAGTTAGAGACTCTCACCTCTGAGTTTGACTCAAATCAAGCTGCTAAAGTATAAAATATTTCATACTGTGCCATGTGTCTTAGAAAACAGGACAGATACCTACATATCTGAAGTTTTTAACAAAATAAAAAGCCATCATAAGGACTTAGTTCAAGTGTGACATCACTGATTTGGACATTCTAGGCTCATTTTTGTCACACTCTGTTCCTATAAAAAATTTTATGAATAGACAGAGAAATATGTTTTCCCTCTGAGTGATGTGAAGCTGCGGTTGAAAAATGAAAAACAAAGAAATAGGAAAAGGACGCAGTTAAAAAGTGGACAGAAATAGCTAAGTAAGCCTCACATTGAAGATCTTTGATTGGCTGGGACAAACAGACACATTTTCAACTTTTTTTTTTTTTTTCTTTTTCAAAATAAGGACTGCTTTGGCTCAAATATCTATAAAACTCACATCCGGTGTTTGTAGGATTCACTTTCAAATTATTCTCAAAGCATTATGAGACTCCAATGGCTCACAAACATCATGTTTACTTGTTGTTTAATAAACAGTTGTTTCAACCTGGCTGTTAAAATGGCTTCTCATCAACGGGGAACAAGTTTTTAGTCTGTTCTTCCTACAGAGAACAGCAGCCTCCACATTTATTACCCTGGTAAAACGTATTAAAAATAGCTGTTTGAAAAAATTATCTGCGTTAATTCGTGGCACCCACAACTTTTACTGGGTTATAAATATTACGTGACACTCCCGTTTCTGTTAGACACTCTTTAAAATGAGAAGGGCCTTTCATTTGAGGCAGATGTGTGTGTTGAGGTTTTTAAGTCAAGAAGCTGACACATCTACAGTCAGAAAAAAATAATTTAAAAGTTTAAAACAACTGGAACAAAGCTGGACGCCGGCCGAAGGCTATTTTGCCACCATGTCTTGGGAGGATGAAAGCAAAGGGAGGCAAAAAGAAACACAAAGTTAATTGTGAGATTACCACAAAAAGCTTTTCAGTGTGAGATTAGGCTTCTATAATAAAACATACATCTTCATTATAAGTACCAATAAATATAGAGGGCAACATGAATGTAAATGCAATTGATGGCTTAGTTGACTTTCTGAAAGCGAATTGCACCAAGTTACAAACTGAACCAATGAATTAATGATCGTTAACTATCCAAACATCTTATTGTATATTTATATTTTGGCCAGTTGCGGTTTAACGTCTTTCAAGACGCCTTTTAAAACAATTAAAAATATTTAAATAAGAAGCGGGACATAAACTGTTATGACAACATAATATGTTTTGCATTTGCACATTGTAGCCACACTAACCTGCACATGAGCTTGCACGTGAAAATGCGAAATTAAGTTTGAAAACGTTGATCCTACAGGAACTAAAGATTGCATTTCGCCTTAAAATGGACAAACTTTGTCGCCGGCCACAGACAAACGTGGACGTGTCCACCTGCAGGGATCGAGCTGGCAACACGTCCGTCCGCACACACAGAGGAGACATCTTGTTCCCCCTTGCTAATTTTCCTGCGATGCCTTCAAACAAGTCTCTCATTCTTCGCCGGGCACCAGGAAGTTACTGTTGAAACAGGCTTAAGGGGAACAGCCGATTTGCATACATAAATGTAAAAATTTGCAAGAAGACAGGCAGGGTGGGAAAGAGTTAGCGAGGCCAGGTGAATAAGTCTTCTGTTGGCTGAGGAGCTGCCTCAGTGGAGGAGGGTGGGAAGGTGTTTTGCATATTAAGGTTTTTTTTTTTTTTTTTTGCACGCTGGGCAGGTGTCTGAGAGATACAGGAGCTGATTAGAGTTTAGCACAAGGAAAATTTGCCCAGCCATGCAAATTTCTAACCCCCCTGATGAACCGACCGCCTTGGTGAGCGCTAAGACTCTTTGTGTAAGTGTTTGGCTTTTTGGTGTGTGTGTGTATGTGGGTGTTGTTTGCGTGTGTGTGTTTGCAAGTGCGTGGGTTGTGTGTGTGTGTGCTTTTTTGGTGTTTGTGTGGGGAGCAGTGTGTTTGCGTGTTCTACACATGTGTGCGGACACACTCGTTATGTCTCCCATCTTATGTGTGTGTGTGTGTGTGTGAGTCATAGAGGTAATGTGGAGATGGAAATGTACTGCATGTGTATCAGGATGCCTCCGAGGCCCTTTTCCGTGGATCTCTCCCCTTTCTCCTCCTCCTCCTCCTCCTCCTGCTGCTCTTCTTCCTCCCCTACCTGCCTGCACCACCACTTGAAACAGGAGCCTACGCAGATTCAGCAAGCAAACACACACACACACACACACACACACACACACACAGAGTTTTCCCTTTGCCAGACTCTGCATCATCAAAGTTCCATCCACCTTGGTGGCGTCTTTGGAATGAATATGTCCTCTGTTTCTCTGATCGCAAACACACACACACACACGTCCGTGGCCTTTCTTGTTTGATGCTAATATGCTCTGTCACTGTGCTGGCCTAATACGCTCCCCATCTCCCTCCCAGCTTCTCTTTTGTCGCGATTGTTTCCCCTTTCCCCCTTTTCATATCCCTCCTCTCTTCCTTCTGTTCCCTTCCTCCTTTCATCCTCCTTTTTCTTTGCGTGTCTTCTGTTCTTGCCTCCCTCACTTTTCTCCCCTCCATTAGGAAGTTTTAATGGCATAATTGTCACATTCCTTCTGGCACAATGAACACCAGCAGT